GGTGTTGGAGAAGAGGCTGGCCATGGAGTAGCTGTGGGGCTGACAGATGTTTCCCAATGAGAGCCGTCACTCCGCTGTGTACAGAAAGTGCTTGCACCATCCTGCTGCCGTCTGAAACCCGTGCCCTGCATCCAGCTGGCAAGTCCTAGCCCAGGCAAGCAAATGTGTTTATGGCTGGTGTATGTTGAAACAGGACTCCTTGGCTTCCCATGGGGCCTAAGGGCATAGTCTGAAGTTTTAATCACAGATAAGGATATTTAAAGCGGCAAAAACAGACAACCCGAATCTGTTTATATGACCTAAGGACATTGCATTTACTACACAAAAAGTACATTTGCAGACTGGTTTGCCGCTCTTGAATTTAAGCTCCTCAAAGGTGGAAATGGGGGCAATTCCTTTCTGCCCTCGTTGTATGTGTCATAAATACAGTTGTAAAACATTGGGAGCCATACTAGCTGAAATTAATCCGAGCTCATGAATGAATTGAAAACAAGCCATCTTAGAAACAAACCTTTCATGTGGCATTCTACAAAAAAAGGAATCAGAAGAAAAAATTTCATAAATATTTAATGGAAGAAAAGGAAAAAAGGTATAAGACACCTTTTTTTTTCCTTTTGCTGAACAAATACTGGGCTATCACCTGGTCCGAGGTGGGATATTCCCCTTACTTGAAGGGTCAAGTGAACGTTGTCTAAAGTCTGAAAGATTTAAAACTAAAGAAGCAGGACAGTTTTTCTGTCTTTTTTTTTCTTCTTTTCCCCTTTATTTATTTTTCCTTTACAGTAAAAATATATAGATTTCTGTAAAGAAACTCATGTCTAGGCAGGTCAAAATGAGCAAAGGATTGTTTTAGTGTAGGCCTGTTCATTTATGACCCCAAGCCAAGGGCAAATGACCCCCAGTCTTCTCGCTCAATAAAGCAAAAGAATTGTGTTTAATTTGACAATTCTAGAATTGCATGTTTGTAAAATTTAATATGAAGTGGCTGAGAGGGTCAGAGATACACCGTTCATTTTTGACATAAGAATTGGAGAAGGGAGCAGATGAGTAATGTGTCTAAACGCGTGCCCCATTCTCATCCGTAATGGTCCTTCCTGTCATAGCTGTCTTTCTGTCTCAATGGAAGTGAATGAGGGGCCAGATGACCTGCTGGGGCTTGCTGCATGTGCCAGAGGTGAAAGGGATGGCATTTTCCTTAGAAACAATCAAGGAGTTTCCCAAACAGGCAACCCACCAAATTATGCAATGCGTATTTCTCTCCCGATAGCCCCATTCTGGTTTCAGTGACTCATAATTTAAGAATCACCTTTTCCTAGTACTCCCTAGGGGATGAGAGCATTAGCTTTGGGATAGCAAACTGCTGTGGTTTGGATCACAAATATTCCCCCAAAGCCATGTGTTAATGTCTTGCTCTCTGGCCTCCGAAGCTGTTGGGAGGTGGGAGCTTCAGAAGGTGAAGATTAGTAGAACTTAGGTTATTGGGGATATGTCGTCCAGAGGGATCTAGGGACCTACTCATTCTCACCTTACTCTTTGCTTCCAGGCAGGCGTGAAGTAAGAAAATTGGTCTGCCCTTGGATCCTGCCTTGATGTGTGACTTTGCTTCAGATTTGAAACAGCAGAGCCAAGTAATAGACACTGGACAAAGACTGCAACACTGTGAGAAAACACCCAAACCTTTCTTACCAGCAGCACTTCACTTTGTGAATGATTGACAGCTGGAGCCAACCATACCAAAGCAACCTCAGCCTAAAGAGTTTTCTTCCATCTTTCTGTGCCCTTCCTTATCTCTCCTCTTGCTCTCCCTTTCTCCCTCCCCACACCTCCCTTCTGAGAATTAAAGTTTCTGTTCTGCTGGGTCCTGCACCTGTTTAGCCCCCAAAGAAACACACAGAGGCCTACATTAATTATAAACTTGTAGGTACCAAGGTCTTTCCCCTTTTCTTCCTTGGCGATTTGCAGGGCCCTGTGACCTCTGGCTCCCTGGAGATTCTGCACTAGCACTGGCTTGAGGGGATAGCTTAGGAAGAACCTGGCTCTCTTTGTTATGGTGATTCCACCTGTAAACAAGGTTCTAGCAGTGGGCCCCACACGCCTGGCCCCTCCCAGCTGATTCTGCCTGAGGCGCCTGGGCCTATAATCTCCTTCTCCTGCTCCTGATGGGAGGAGGCCTTGCCCTTTCCAACCCTCTTGCCCACTGGTCTAATTACCCGACTTGAGTTTAATAAAGTGGCCATTTACTCTTTGGTAACTGAACAAGGTCTCTTTTGTGTGTGTCTGTTCAAACCCTCAGGACAATCGTCCATTCTCGTGGGCCCCAGTTCAGGAAAGCGCACACCTGGATCGGATGTGGGTATCCACAGAAAAGGCGGGGTCCTACATAAACTGATTGGCCTATTAGCTCAGGCTTCTTATTAACTCTTATAACTTACATTAGACCATAATTCTTGTCTGTGTTAACCATGTGACTTGGTACCTTTTATCAGTGAGGCATTCTCATCTTGCTTCCTCTGTGTCTGGATGATGACTACAAACTGGCCCTTTGCTCTTCCCAGAATTTTCCTGTTCTTGTCACTCTACCTCTTCCTCCTTCCTGGTCACCCCACCTATCCTTCCTGCCTGGCTACTGGCTAATCAGAAATCAGTATTTTATTAAAACAATACAAGACTATTGTCCCACAGTGATATGGGATTACCCTCTGTTTGTTTTGAATACCACTGGTTAATAAATAAACTGTCCTAGACCTGTGCAGAGTAGAAAATAGGTAGGCGGAGAAAACTATACTGAATGCTGGGAGAAAGAAGGCAGAGTTAGTGAGAAGTCATGTAGCCCCCTCCAGAGACAAATGCTGGAACTTTACCCAGTAAGCCACAGCCTTATGATGATACACAGATTGCTAGAAATTGGTTAAATTAAGATGTAAGAATTAGTCAATAAGAAGCTAGAACTAATGGGCCAAGCAGTGATTTAATTAATACAGTTTCTGTGTGGTTATTTTGGGAGTCTGGGCAGCCGGGAAACAAACAAGTGACCAAGCAGCCTTCATACAACACCACAGCACCCTTCTCTTTTCCTTCCTCCCTTATTTCCTTTTCTTCTCTTCCTTCTTCCCTCCCTTCCTCCATTCCCCCCTTCCTTTCTCCTTTGTATAGCATATGCATCAATTGGATGGATGAACTCTACACTGTTTCAGTTCATAGAACTCCCTTGGGACTAGAACTGGCTTATACATTAGCTTAAAATCATGGATGAACTTTGTGTGTGCACTCCAAAGGATGGAATCATAACAAGCAGTGGTAGTTCTGTGAAGAACACTAAGCTCATGGAATCTCTCCGCTGTCATTCTCCTGACTCCTGACTAGATGTGAAGCGATTGTTCTGCCATATCCTCAGATAAGTGTGACTGATCCCTTCCCTATTGATGACCAAAGAAGGCAAGGAAATGAAGAGTGGCCTTTGGATCACAGGCATGGGTATAAACATACATGGGTTGGATCTCTCGTGCCATGGTTAGATTTCACTATGAAAGGTTATCAGCAAGCACAATCTCCTCCTATAGCTTTATAGCGGTTTACTTATTCATACCCCCTCCCCATTCGAAAAAGGCAAGGCCCAGTGCTGAAGTTATTCATCTAGTACTTGGAAGCATCTTGTCCCATTGTCCACAGTCTCCTATGACTCTCTCTGTATCCCACTTTGACCAAAGTACCCAGACTTGACTATTACCACAAGGTCTCTGTTCCTGCTCTCTTCCTCTCCAGCTATTTTCCTTTTTGTACCTTGAACCCACAGATCTGCTCCTGTACTGGGAGTCTTCGGGCTTCTGGCAGTGAACATCTTCTGATCTCAGGTTGGCTCTCTCCCTCTGAACACTGTGTAGCTTCCACCACCACTGCCTTGACCTCAACACTCCAGCGACTGCTCTTGCCTCTTTGTTCCATACCCCTAATGCTGCTTGTCTCTCGTTAACTTTGTATTAGTTTCCTTTACTTGTCACCACCTGCCATCCTGTATTTATATCTGCTTCTTCTTTGTCCCCTGTCACTAGAATAAAATTATCCTGGGGCCAGGGATTTTTGCTCTCTCTACAGCCTTATCTTTAGCTCCCATTTCCTTATAAAGCAGTTTCTCACTTGTTTTCAATAGATGAATTTGATGTCAAGGCTTAAAAGAGGGGTCATCAACTGGAGACTATCAGTAGAGTTGGAGGGATTAATCCATCTTCCTCAGATACCACCTCCCCAAATCCCACGTCTGAAGTCCTGGACCACCATTCTTCCTACTAAGCACACATCAGGTCGAGCCTCTCCTGCCTGTCTGTCAGAGAGAAGAGTGACCTTTCCTTGGACAGAGAAGACTTGTGTTCAAAATAACTAGGGTCACAGCCTTCCCTGGACCTTCTTCCTTCCTGCAAGGCCCGAGGTTGTTCCCATAGCCATCCCCAGGGGAATGTGCCGTGTATCCGAGGGTCCCTGGGAAGACAAGGGCTCACATTCCTAAGAGCATGTAGCCGCGCAGTCCCAGGGTCTGTCTTTCTTGATCAGAGGAAGTGACAGTCTAGCTGATATTTCGAGACGGGTGGGTCATGGGAGTTGTGTCACTGCCTGGCTCTGGCTGCTGCTGGCTGCTGGGACACTGCTGGGAAGAAGCACAGGGAGCAGCATTCACTGTCAATCCACAGTGGGTTCCTGCCAGAGTTCTCTCCCTGTTCCAGGGCCGCCCTGGCCTCCTTAAAGCCCTGGTTCACTCATACACTGTCTACTTGGCATCCTGCTCCACTCGGCTCCACATGAGGAAAGTGTCCTGGCACTATTTCTATATGAGCAATGGTGACTTGGTGCCTATCTCCAACAACTTAACAACCACACAACACAATGCAACACAACAACATTGACAGAAAGAGATGCCTGGAACTCACTTACTGTGATGCAGAATACTAGAGAGTCAGAAGGTAAAAGCTTCCTGGTACCAGGCCGCAGAGACTGCGATCTGATTTGCACCCCTCTCTCTTCTACAGATGGGGAACTAAGCTCAGTGACCATCCTATTTGGTGATCTAGAAGTGTGGGCTGATGGTGCTGCTGTGCCCACTGGGTGGATGCATCCTGTGTCCAGTTTGACTCAATGGATAGCTGTCTCTGCAGGTCCTAATGTGAGTGATGATTTCTTGTCTAACGGAATGACTTTAGTACTTTATTCCCATGTGGTGCTCCTGTTTGGGGCGGTAGTATAACCTCCCTGGAGGAAATACACCATGGGAGGAAGGCTTTGAAAGTTCCTAGTGTCACTCCGCTTCTCTGTTTCCTATCTGTCATCGAGGGTGTGAGCTTCCAGCTTCCTCCTGCTGCCACTATGCCTGCAACTTTGCCACGTCTTCCTGCCGTGACAGACGCTTATCCCTCTGCCATTATAAGTTGAAAGAAAATCCCTCTTCTATAACTTGTTTTTGGTTGTGGTGCTTTAGCAAAGCAATGGAATAGTAATCAATCACTTTTCTGTTACCACACACCTTGATAGATCTTCCATTCCATGGGGAATGGTAGTAACTCTGTCATTTATCAGAGAGTCCCAGCCGTGGAAGCCACAAACTCCTTCTCCCCATTGCCAAGTCCAAGCCCCACCTGCTGGAGACAGGAAGGCTCAGGATGGCAGGGCAGTCCCACCAGCATCTAAAACAATTGCTAGTGCAAAGAGCCTTCAGTTGTACATGCACACCCGAGTTTCCCTCTTTTCCATAGTTCATACTTTTGTTTCTGTTCTTAAGAACATGTGGGGGGGTCTAAGAGCACTGAGAAGCAGCAATGGTTCCTGCTAAAGACTATTACAGAAGAAGAAAGGGCTTCCTGTCATCTTTCCCTTCTCTGAGCTTTTCCGGGTGTGAAACAGAGTCACCTTTGGGTCCCCATTGCCAGAGAGAACTGAAGTTTAAGCTGCCAGTTATGTGGTGCTAAATGGAAGGGTATCATTGTTCATTTGATTGCAAGCTTCTAACCGGAAGGTTTAGATGATGCACTAATCTCGAGTCTTCTGATGTGACCTCAACAGTGCTATGCAGTCCAGCAGGGAGACCAAAGAGCAAGATGTTGATGGGAGCAAGTGTTGACAAGCTATACTATCTACAGTGCTACATGTATCCTCTGTGTACACATGTTGTTTGCAAGGCTAACTTCCCAGAAGCTTCTTCAAAAGTGTGCCACAATTTTTAACCCATTATTCCTGCACTGAGGATTTTACTTAGGCCTATAGAAGGTAACCAAAGGCTGCCGACGCTCATACAAGGCTCTTTTAGTTCTGTGAAGTTAGAGACAGTCACGTGAGAGTCACGGTGTTTATTTCTACCATATTTGTGGTCCAGATGGGAAATGAAAACACATTTGTTTTAAGTTTGGTCACTTGTTTGGGCCACCTGGGCTTTATGCTGAGTCTGAAGTCATATGCCAACTCAGGTGGGAAGGGTGTCATCATCGCTCAGTGATGCTGGCCATGGGTAGGTGGAAGGACAGGAGAAAAAGAGTGTCCAAGAGTCAATGGGTTGCCATGCCTGGCTTCCTCTAATCACACTGGATTAAACTGAAGGGTTAGAAAGGAGCAGAAAACTGATCCATGGCCTGGGGTGCTAGAGAATCCTGTCGAGGAAGACCTGTACAGTGTAACTAGGCAGTGATGTGAACGCTCGCTCAGAAGTTAGAATTCACTAATAACCACAGTGAGTCCAGCCATACAATGTTTGCAAGACACTTACTTAGAATTGAACTGCATCATCACTTAATCTATGGTACCCAAACAGAGAGAACGTGCACCCTGGTACTCAAACACCTTCCAAGGTGAGGGAACGGCAGCTTCCTATTGGTCAGTATTTGGATCTATCATGTACAGATACTCAATTCCTGAGAGAAGGTCTGCCCCAACCAATGTGGACTGTTGTGTTCCCCTCTCCCACCAGCCTTCTACAACTCTTCTCCTGCCAAACTAAAACTTGCATTTCCTGAACCATTTTATGGTTCATTTTCCTGAAGTATACAAATATTCTCAATCAACACAAAAGGATTTAAAAATACATCTCTCCAAAGGGAGACTCCTTTTAGACAACGCAAAGGGAGACTCTAGCTAAGTGACAAGCTTAAGAAATTGAGGAACCAGATTGATAGCAAGCCCCAATGTTTCTCTAACCTCTGTTCCTATCTCTCTCTTACCATTTATCTAGCTATCATTTATATCTGTCATCTATCATGTATTTTCAGTCAATTGTGTTTGTCTATCTATCTATCTATCTATCTATCTATCTATCTATCTATCTATCTATCTATCTTATTTTCCATCTCTTTCTCTTTTTTTCTTATATTGACAATTAAAAATATGTTTTATAGAAATGAATATGATTATCTGGGCAAATCCGGATATGTCTGGAAGTTAAAAGTGTCTTTCCCCTCTGCATAAACAAAAGGGACTTCTTCTGCAAGTCCAGAGGGTTGGATACCTGTTCCTTCTCAAGAGGATGGCAGAGTTGTGGATAGGATGACTTGAACTTATTGAAAACATATTCACAACAGAAAGGCAATTTGAGTCTTGTAGAACATGTGGCAGCTATTTATAGGAATGGACACCCTTGGCATTAGTGGAGATCTAGAGAATGAATTAATTGTAGAGACAGTAAGAATTGATCTAAATAACTCATAAAAGCATCAGGTACTGTACTAGCCTAGTTAAGGACAAAATAAGTAAATATATCAGGCCTGGCTACTGGGTGAAGTTTTGCTTCTTCGTACCATCCAAAAGGTTCCAATCATTGTAAAGACAAACTCAAACAAGCTCCCAAATGGCAGCTACCAGCTTCATCGCCTTTGTCACTGATGTTGATAATGGACTTGGCAGTGAGATTGATGGCATGTTGTGTTCAAACATTGTTGCGTGTTCTTTACAAGAGGTGTGGTTTTCACCATCACTGTATGTCAGGAAGGATGTTTCCATATTACAGATGCAGAATCCTAAGGCAGAGACATGGTGTATGGTAGGATGCCGGGCAAACTCACTTTTTAATGGGCTAAGTGCCTATAGCCAAAGACAGATAGTGGCATAAGCTTTGAACTCAGTTCACCTTCGACTCCAAAGCCCTTCTTATTATTTGTTATTGTTTTATGGAATCAGATATTCTGTTTTTTATCATACTGCCATTTTTATGAAAAGTGAGGAAAGCATGAGATTTGAAGAGAAACAACAGGTTTTGAATCTTTTTAGGAATCATGTGAACATCACAAAAGAGAGCCTGTGAAATATTGCACTTAAATAGAGAAAGAATTCTACGAAGGTGAGAATGAGAGAAGGCTTGGGGTGTTGACAAGGAGCTCGAGGATGATGTGAGCCCTAGGGGGGATTTAATATTGACAAGGCTGGGGACAGAAGACAGCCACTGGTATCCCTGGAGAAGCATGTTACTGAGACAGCTGCAAGAGCAGTTGAGACCATCTGTGGCTCGGAATCTCTTTGTCTGATGTTGGATTTTGCCTGGACATTTGTTTTAGGTCATTCTCAGGGAAGAAGGATTTCACACATGTGCCACAGAGAATGAGAGCAATGAATACCCCCACCAGCTGAAGTGACATTTGTGTTGGCTGTTTACAAGGAATAAAGGGTGGCCCGGGATCTCGGGTGCTGATGTGTCCAGAAGTCCCACTTGGGTCTGCCTTTCTCTGCTACAGCAAAGGAGGATAAAGTTATTTGTCTCACAGCTGCGCCAAAGTACACGGCAAAGGCAATTTCTGGAAGGAAAGGTTCCTGTGACTCTCAGTTCTACGGGGTACATTCTATCCTGGGGAAGGGGGAGGCTACGGCCGTAGGGAGAGGTTCTATCTAGAAGCAGAAAGAAATGAATGCTCCCGCTTAGGTGTTCTTCATCCTTCTGCTTACCCCAGGACCCCAGGGTACAGAATTGTGCTGTTCACATTTAGTGAGGGGCTTTCCATGTCAATCAACCAAGTCTAAGAACTCTCTCCCTGACAGCCCCCAAAGTTTATCTCCATGGTAATGCTAGGTCCCATCAAGATGCATGTAACACGACCCATTCTAGGTGGCTTCTTTCCATGTGTTCACAGAGGTCTGGAGCCTGCTACCTTACAGAAGATGGCAGAGACGTGGGGAGGGCTGTCTAGACTTATTCCTCACACATTTGCAGTAGGGAGCTCATTCCAAGCTTGTGGAGAGTGTGATAATGGTCTGTAGACAGGATGAGGCAGGATGGTGTTCTGTTCTCTGACGGATGGGGCAGTAGCAGCCATACTCTCTCCTTTACTTTGTGCAAGGTATTTTTCTCTACTTCTCCAATCTCCCATTCTCTACTCCTACCTCCAGGTTTCTTTGTAGATTCAGACTTTTACAGTAAGCAGGGATTAGCTTCTGCTAGCTTCTGGGGATTGACAGATTGTTTTAATTAACTGTGTTTTAAAAAGAAAGGCTATAAGAGCACCATGAAGTGGACTCAGGTCTCTATTGCTCGCTGCCACCCAGCTCCTGCTTTTTTTAGACTCTGTGTTTTCCTCCTTTTTCCTAGTCTGAAAAGACTTTCCTTTTTAAGATTTTTAGAGCAAGTATATATTTACTAGTTTTCAGCAGCCTAGCACCTGCAAAAGATTATAAACCCTAATATCGTCCATGACCGTGGATCTAGGCCCTGTCTGATTGGCAGATATTTTGTGGCACCTACAACAGACAGGAGTAACATAGCTTCCATTAACAGATCGTACAGGCGTCCCTCATGCCTGTACAGCCTTGCTCTCTGAACACTTGCTCCTGGAATCTAGGTAGTAGTATTGGAGAGACAGTTTTTGACATGAAGCTAGGCAGAGAATCCCTGTTGATCTTCACTGTTCCTGATTACATCTCTGCCACGTGCCAAAACCTATGGCTTAAAAATCCAAGGAACAGTTCTGGAAACTCTATACAAAAGTTTGGAGGCTTTTAAAAAATGAGTAGGTAGTGAAGTATCTGAGCATGTATTCCTCCTCCTGGTGAGGCCCTAAGAACTTGACAGAGGCTAACCAGGAGCACCTGAATGAACTTTTATTAATCTTTTGCAACAGTATTATATTGAGCTCGTAACTCAAATTTGAAAATCATAGCTGTTAAAAATCACTCAAAAGACATAAATCTGGCCAAAGGTAGGTTCCTACTTAAATCTAGAATTAGAATTCTGTTCTGGTTCAGAAGGAGTGTGTGTGTTTGTGTGTGTGTGTGTGTGTGTGTGTGTGTGTGTAAAAAGAGAGAGAAAAAAAGGGAAAGAGAGAGAGAGAGAGAGAGAGAGAGAGAGAGAGAGAGAGGCAGAGACAGAGATAGATAGAGAAAAACATAGAGCAAGACAGAGACCCCAGCCAGGCTCCATCCGATGATCAGGCTGAGGTGACTGTCCATCAAGATCAGAATGTGCAGACACTTACATGTGACTCGTCTGTGACATGAGTGTCATGCCCATGCTTCCCACGTTGCTCAGGAATGTTCCCAAAGGAACAGAAGTCATTCTGAGCCGCTGTCTGGATTTGGTAAATCCAGCATAGGGGAAGGGGTTTAAAGCTGTACTTGCTCACTGCTGTTTAGAAAGGAGAACGAGCAGGATCCAATTGTTGGGCCCACGTAGATAAAGTCTTATACATGGTAGCCATTAATGCTTCTTCACAGCGCTCATTTTAGAGATGTAGTTACATTTAAAAATGACAGTGAAGAAATTATCCTGATGACTTTGCTGAGAGAGAACCAGAGAAAATAAAAAGCCAGAGAGGGCAAGGTCACGTGAGGTGGGACTCTCCTGTCTCCACTGTCACCACTAAGCTGGAAATGCATGAACCGGATGTGTGGCTATCAGTTACATTTTCTGGAATGCCCACCAGATCCAGTTCGTAGAGGATCGAAGGAGGGGATGGAGGAAAGTAACTAACCACGGGAATGCCCTGCCTCCCCGTGTTCTTCCGGTACCACTCCTTTCCACTGTCGTCAGTGGTAGGTGATCTTGACTGACAGAATGTGAGAGGCAATGAGATTTCTGGGTGTGAGCCTTGGTGGCACGATATTTAGGGTAACACGATGGGAAGTTTATTTCTCTGAATATCTTCATCTGAAATGCTATTAAATATTGTGATAGTCAGCTGGCACGGTTGGTTTAAAGGGACTGAGAATCATCCCAGGGACACATCTCTGCATGTGTCTAGACGGATGCTATGGGAGAGAGAATGGAAGGCTAATCCTAGAAAGAGGGAAGCCTGGGCGCGAGGTTCATCTCTCTGCTTCTGACAGCAGGTACAACACGACATGCCGTTTCAGGAATCTGCTACCACAGCCAGTGCCATTCTTGTCTCCACACTCCTCATTATGATGAACTCTACCTTCAAAGTGTACACAAATAAACCCCCTTAAGTTGCTTTTGTCAGATGTTTTGGCTTCAACAATGAGAGGAGCGACTAATCACGTTGGCATAAGGCTTGGTGACTCTGAATCATTTCTTTTCTCAGTCAGTGGTCAAAGAAGGTGGACATGCTGGGGTTGGCTTAGAGGACCATGATTTGGAAAGAGAGAAGACAGTTAAGGAAAGAGATTGCCCCATTAGATCTGAACTGGGGACTGAATGGCTCACCCCCTCTCTCTTCAAACCAGACATTAAATGCTCCAACTCCCGATGTGACTGCGATTGGAGATGAGGTCTTTGTAGAGAGGTAATCTCAGTGAAGTTATATGGGGGTATTAAACTGGTGCCCCAGGTATCAGAGTGGGAAGAGGGCAGGAGTTTAGGAACGTGAAAGCATGAACTAAAGTTCCATGAGGACATAACACAGAGGAGTCCCTTCAGCATCCAGTATCTATCACCAACACCTTGATGGGTGGCACCCAGCTACCCCTGACAAGTACACCTCCGCCCCATGCCATGTGTTCCAGTTTGTGATTGCTTCCTGTGGTGACAAACAGGACCAGTGGCCCAGGTACCACCATAGTCCTGATTCCTTGTGCGGCACCATATAGTGATGGGGTGGGGTACCAGAACCACTGCAAAGCTCTGCTGGGCACAGTCTCTTTGCAAGCCAGTACCTGGGGTTGTGGGCATGGCTCTGGACTCTCCTGTGTAGTTGATGCAGGAATAGAAGAGGGCAGGAAATGGCACGGAATCTTGGGAGACTGTGGGGGTGGATGCAAATCTTATGGAAGGCATCAAAGCTCACCACACACAAGGAGCTTGTGGCGGGTGGGACTTTCTGGTGTCAGTTAGTCCACTATGCCATTCATGGGGGTTTCCCATCATTTCCAGCTTTCTTTTTGTTGGACACTAGCTGTCTTGGCAGTGTCTCATACACTTCTGCCTTAGTTTCCCATTTTTGCACAGTAGCAATGCCTCTCTGTTCCTCCCAGTGCTAGATATAGAAGTCTGAGGTTGGTGGTGTTCTGAACCTGGGGCTCAAAAAATAACTGGAGGGAAATCTAGGGAGTGAGCAGGGTTATTATTAATGAATTTGGGGACCCATTATGCTCTCCTGCTAATAACATATGTGTGTCTAACTTAGCCAAAAGGCCTTGAATATGAAGCCAAAGGGTTTGAAAATGAAAAGTTACAAAGACACCCATGTGGAACTATTCTTTCCTGATTTGTGATTCTATTTTGGGAAATGGTAGAAGTTTCAAAAGGTAAAGCCTAGCTGGAATGTTAATCCTGGTCCTCCACCCCTTCCACCCTCTGCTTCTCATTACTATGAGGGGAGCATCGCCAGGCACACGGTAGAGCTGTGCTAGGCGCTGCATCCCCTGAGACGAGGCATCAGTACATCCAAAGACCAGGAGCTGAACCCTTTGAGACCATGTGCTGAAACAGAGCGTTTCATTTTAAGTCTTTCTGTCAGGTATTTCACCACAGCTGTTTAAAACAAAACATCTGATGGGCAGAGGCTGACCCTGTGGGCAGTCTCATTGAGGAAATGTCTTTCAGCAACAAGTAGATGAATTGTCACAGAATCAAGATGATTTGCCATCAAAAAAGCAAGCTCTTGCCCCATTTTTGTTAGAAAAAAAAAGGTGAAATTAGAGAGTTTTGTCTTCTTGGCGACATGGCTTTTCCCTCTTGCTGGAATGTTCACTCTTATAAGATTGAACTTATAAGATGACTTTATCCGTAGCTGGGTGTCCTCAGCATCCTTGGTCACAGCTCTTCCCTCTGTGCTGTATTCAGCATGGAGCTGGCTGTGCGTCTCTGGCCTCTCCTTTACGTGTGCTCTCTCAGACTCATCCCCTCTTGCCGTTCCATCTCTCCAGGGAACGGGCAGTTCTATTTCTTCTCCTCCTCCGACGCCTGCATATTACTTACTATTTAGATTTATAAGCCAAACCCGTTTGCAATAAAGTCACTTCAGGGCACACACGCAAGGTTAAAAGCTTTAGGTCAAATACACAGAGCTATAAAAATAAACAGCCGGAGCACACAGTAGAAATATTATTGATGGCGAAGCAGTGACTTCAACATAGAGGTTCTTTCAGTGAGAGCCATTCGAGAAAAGATACAAAGATGAATGAATTGCATGGAGCCTTCCAGTTGTTTAATTAAGGTATTGGAAAAAAAAAATTACCCACCCCTCAGAATTTTGCTTCCAAATTTTAGTTAAGCCAAATGAGACAGCCAACCAGCCCTTCACCAAATGT